ACGCTGATATTTCTCTGTCTTAAATGGGTTTCTCGAGGTAGCCGACAAAATGTACCAAACGGATTACCTGGTAAGTGTAATTTTTCAGTGTCCAGCGAGAGTTACTCCCGTTCATCTTACATTTAACAAGCACAGCTGTTTAGAACCATCATCTAGTCAGCAAGTTCTCTGTTTACTTTGACTTCATGTTCTTGTCAATGGTCTGCGAAACCTAAACTGATTGCCAGATTTTCATTCAAAATCTAATGTGACACAAAAAGCACCATCTTCCCTCCAAACTTTGTATAATTGTTCTTGTTTTTCTTTAACTTCTCTTCTTTTGGAAAATTCTGAGCAATTCGATCAAAAGACAATGCGTCAAGACCTTCGAGAAAAAGCTTCGAGATACCGAAATTTTTCGTGAGAGTGCATTGAGTATTTAATTCACAATCTTATCTAAAGCACCTTGGAACACATTATTATTGTTTTCTTGCTTCTGTTTTCTGTTTCTTTTCCTGAATACCCATTCCGAACACTTTGTTTAAACGGGGAGGGGTTCGTTGAAATGGACCTTGCGAATGACGGTGAATTAAGCTTACAGTATCTTATAGTTGAGAACGTCTGTTGAACTTTTTTGGACTAGACGACATCATCATTGAAGGGTAGAAGTCATTGTTTTATAAATAGAGTAGAGAGATTATATTATTTTGTCTAGACGAAGGAGTGTCATAAAGACTTGAGGGGATATTACTCTTGTGTACCAGAACTTTGTTTTCATTAATGATTACTACGAATAGCTGGAATATCCCATCACCTCTACAGCTGCGCCTTTACAGAAGGGCCATGCCCCCCCCCCCCAATTTTTTGGTAAGCCAAAATATTTCCAAAGAGGCCCTGGTTTGGAGCATTAAATTCAAGTTTGATCTATAGACCTTGGTCCCTCCACCTTGAAACTCGTGGTGTGGGCCCTGTTACGACGCTACCAAGAGCTGAAGTTATCTATAATCACCCCTGCAAATTATTCAGTAATTATCTGACCAGTGATTCTCAGGAGGCCACTTTCAGGCACCGCAGAACAGGGGGGCTTGGGGGCTTTAGCTCCCCCCACTTTTTGCAAAAGATGCCAAATATTAAGTAACAAGCTACCAGTAAAGCCTCTTTTTATACGGTTTTAGCCCCCCCTCCACTTTTTTTAGACCTCCCACTTTTCTCAACGCTCCGCGGTGCCTGGCTTTGCACGATCTGGGTTAAAAAAATCCAGCTAAAGAGTAGCGTTCAATCTGAGTTTTTTCCAATGAGGTCAATAGATCTCATTGGTTTTTCCTGACTTAAGTTTGATGACGTGTACAGATCTGAAGAAAAAATTATTTTCTATTCGTGAAATTTCGCAATCAAATTGAATTGTCTAGAGAAATTTCGTAGACTAATGCTCCCAATTGCATAATTAATACTGTTTTAAAGTAAAGGTCATCTACGTCACTGACAAGGTGTAGATGAGATATTAGGTATTTCTTTAGATGTGGTAGTCTGCTTGTTACAAATTGTTAATTACAGTTAGTCTCTTTGACTGTCCTGTTAATAATGAGTTGTCATTTAAAAGAGAATTTGAAAAGGGTGCAATGATCTTGCTTGAGCGTATAATGTGGGTTTCCTGTTAAATGTCTTTATGAAATGATCTTCTTTGAAGACAAAGAAGTTAATTGCATTATAATCAGTTATTCAATGAGATTTCAAGGACCATTCGGTTAGGTAAATAACCCAAGACATTATTTTTGTTTATGTGTCATAATAAACCCCTTTGTCAGAAGAACAGTATTTATTGACTGCCTGCTGTTAGCCAACTCTTGTCGTGGAAAGCTGAGGTGGGAGAGTGGCTGGTTCACGGTTTGTCACAGTTGCACAACACGCCCTGAATATAACCTTGTCTGATTTTCTCAATAACCATTTCTGGTTTGCATTTTAACAAGGCTGGTCTTTTGACAGCAAGTGAACACCAAAGGTAATGGCTGGTTTCTTCACCTTTTCTATCCATGTTATCTTGTTATTACAACTCCCAGGATGTGTCACAATTGAAGTCTAATTGCACTGCTTTATTATATCACAACCTGCTGCCAGCTCTTGACAATGTTTCGAGAGAAATTTACGTCAGCGAGCTAAAGCCTTTTGATATATCCAAGCAGATGACGCATCGAATTTCAATGCAAGGTTACAGTTGAGACATTCAGATATTTTTTAATAGGGTATAGACAATCAATGTTTCAGGAGGTTGTCTAAATCGTTAAATATTTTATTGGTTGTCAATGCCATATTTGGTTGACTTTTTGGATTGTTTGAAATCATAGCATGTACATAAAAAATCAGTAAAATTCAATCTAAGAAGAAGGAACTGAATTTTGAATTTGTTTCAGTGAAATTCAGCATTCTGCATTTTTAATGTTTGGAACTCATATGAACCACTTTTAATTGTGAGGAGATCAAGTTATTTACTCTTGTAAAATCATGTAAACAATACTGACATGCGAAGTTCAATCTTTTTGTTCTGAAAGGTTTTCTATTTCTCGGTTAGTCCCAAGATTACGCCTATTATTTAAAAACTTTTTGAAAGACCGATTGATCTGTTTCCTAGCGGACTTACTCACATCAATTCACATATTCATCAACAAATGAATCATTATATTGACTGCAAGACGAATCAAAAGCCCATGCTTCCGAGGACACACCCAGTAAATCTCACATACCATCTCCTTGGAGATCCATTAGCATTCATCTTGCCGGGATGATGCTTTGTTTATTGGGAGTCAAATATTCCTCAATTGATTCTGTATTGTGTTTTAAACCTCATTTGTCTTACAAAGCTGCCCTTTTGTAGCACTGTAGTCATAGAAAATTACGAGAACTTCCTTTTGGTGAACATAATAAAATTGATGAAAATGAAGATTCCTTTGAAAGGAAACTCTCAAAATGTAATTATAAACACTTAATAGTAGGGGAGGATTTTTTTAACACAAAATTTTTTAAACTCTGTAACTCGTGAGACTAGTTTCTTATGACTGGAAATCGTATCAGCGTAAAGAAGATGAAATAATAGTTCTTTTATTTTATCTTGGTGTAAGAAATACTGAATTTGATGGTCAATGTTTTGACTGAATAATTCTTGTGTTGGTATCTATATAAGAATGAGCGGCCTAAGGTTTCAACGATATTTCAAGGTCTTGAGAAATTCTTCTTAAGAATTTTAGTAGTTACTTAGATACACTCATTTTTTCAGTTTGCGTGATAAGAAGTTTCTGATTGGATTATTTGAATGTGAAAATGAACAGTGAACATACCATATGAGCAATTTATAAACATTATCTAAATTTGAGCCAGTATTGACAAAGGCAGCCCCAGTACTGAGTTAAATGTAAATGGGTTTTTTTTAGAAATATATCTGCCTGTTCTTAGCATTGTTTATTTGAGAACAAAACACAGCTTCATTTTTGTGCCCAGCTTTGAGGGGTTCATTCAATACGAAGTTTTTTCCTCCCAGAGAGCCCTTTTCCGGGTCCTTTCCATTGCTTTGTGGGGGTTTCCCTTCTATAGTCTTGGAAAGGTTTGCACTCACAATTCAATGCGCGATTGTCAAGGCCAAAATGTTAGTTTCTGGTTTTATCTACAATAAGCATCTTTGAGTAGTACCAAGCCATTGCATTGTTTGTTTTGACAAATGCATGAAATGCAAAACATACCATTGTCTGTTGTGAATATCGCTTACAAACAAATGTGGACGGTCCATCCACAACTCTCGAGACAACACACGGCTGTGATTTCTAAAGGGTGATTCCCTGACGAGAAGAAGCAGAATTTTGTGTCTGAGCTACAGCGTAACACTGAACACATCTGCGAGGCAAGCGGGGTACATAATGTACCAAAGAGGGAAATTATTTTCGTCTATGAGGCGAATGAAGTTATTGATATTTGAATCATCAATGTGCAAGAATATATGGGCAGAAACGGACAAGAAAAACGCATTTGTATCTCTCAGGTTACGCTCGCACTGAAACAATCCAGACTCATTGATCATCCTCCCGCCTTATTACCTTTTACGGTCTTGCACTTGTGTTTTGCGAGGCGTGTCCAGGGGTATCTCCACATAACGGTAACATCCTTTTTCCAAAACAAAACGGTAATACATGCAAATTTTGGTACACACCCATGGAAATATGATTGTTCACAGGGTTTAATTATAGAACCCCCTAGCAATAATTGTTAAGAATTTTCTAGTAGTTCTCTTAAATGTAAGCAATAGTCGGCCTGTTAGCTGACAGCTAGTGGCAGGCTTTTTGGGATCTTGGAAGCAGATTATTTTGGGTCAAAGGATATTTTCACAGAAAAGGACAGTAAAATTTATTTAAAGTTACACGTGCCTCTTCTTGGCTACTGTGTGGACAAAATAATAAAGAACCATGGATGAAATGGTAAGTCAGACACCGACAAGAAAATATATTTTCCATCACAACCACAATTTTGGGGTTTTAACCAAAATATTTTCACAATTTACCATCTCTCTGGTGTATTCATTCAAAGAAAATTGTTTTTAGGCCGCCAAAGAGCGTTTATATACATGTGTCCCGAAGGGGATACATTTTTCTTTAGTGTAAGCCGTGTTTCTCTGTTTCTCTTTGGTATCTGTCTAAAAACAGCGAATACCTTCCATATTAAAGGTCTTTCAATCCACGAAACCTTTGTGAATTATAAAGAAACCACTGTAAGTTTGCAAAGAAACCATTGCAAAGTTACAAAGAAGCCATTGCGGTGTCGGGGAAATCAGAGCGATTTTGCGGACATAAGTCATATTACTTATCATTGAGGACGTTACACAGACCTTGTTATCAGGTGCCAGTTGTGTGGGTTGGGTCCTGCGCTGCGCCAGACCCGCTGTCCCTAGACACCTCTGCGTTACTTCAAAAAGACTCGTTAGGGTGTGCGAAGAATCCTTTTCGCTGGCCTAAAGTGAAGTGGTGTATCCGTTTGCCTTTTAGCACGAAAACGCAATGGCAGTGGAAGACCCTACATCCACCGATGCAGCATGGAAGAAGATCCAACAGAACACATTTACAAGGTGGTGCAACGAACATCTTAAATGTGTGAACCTTTTTATTTACAACTTGGAAAGTGATTTCAACGATGGACTGAAGCTAGTAAGCCTTCTGCAAGTGCTTTCGCACAAGAGAATCAATAGATATAACAAAAAGCCAACGTTTCGACCCCAAAAATTGGAAAATATTGCAATTGCACTTAAATTCATCGATGATGAAGACATCAAACTGGTCAACATTGGTAAGTTTCTTTTATCTTGCAATTAGCTTTAATTGCTGTTTATGTAAACTTTCATATCATTCAGTCTACCTGTAAACCCCATAGGTCGCGGGCTTTCCGCTGCGTTTTTATAAACAATTACTCAACTTTTGTAAGTCTGTAAATAATGAATTATTCAAGATTTAACTAAATGTTTCTGAAATGAATTTGACCCATTTAACACAGTCACTTCACATGGCCTGATGCGTTTCATTCCTTTGAACCATATCGGTGGGTGGGGCCTGTAAAGATATGAATTCAACTCGGTTCTGTCGCTTCCAATCTTGCCAAGGAGAGATTAGCAACTCCCTGGCAGTTCCATGGAACATCAACCTTTTAAATTGCTTTAGCTCTGTATCTTTAAAAATGGTTGGGATTTGATTGAAATTTCATTCTTTAGGCCGTACGTTCCTTCCTCAACAACACTTCCCGCTCTACTGACGTTGAATTTTTAATGTCTGTCTGCCTTTTTTGCACTGTCGAGCTTCAAATGTTATGTTTGTTTACCATGCAAAACAGTTTTGTATTGTAAATTCGACTGCAAACTAAACCTTAAAACATATAGGCAAACTGCTAAATTTCACAATCCCACCAAACGTCGATTTTTCTATCAAGGAATGCGATTTTTCAATTCAGTAAAATAAATTTGATAGGATGCAGGTTGTTATTTGTAAACAATTCAATTTGTTATTATTCACATATTTTTAGTTTCCAAATTCGTTTCATGGGGCCTTATCTTGCTTGGCGTATCGCTGTTGCTGTCTCGTAAATCTACCTGCGTGCTCCATACCAGTGTACCACACCCTGTCTAGAATTCCTTTGGGTCTCTTTTCATGCAAATAGATATCATAACAAAAGCCTTTCCTCAACACTTTATTTTTTATTGAAGATATAATTTTGAATTCCTGGCCAGTTTGTAATATGCCTTCTCCAAATGTAAGAAAACAATGGATTTCAAATTTGTTTTGGGTTCCTTCTCTGTCAGTTTTGTTCAACATCAGTTGGTAATTATTATAATAATTTATGCATAATTGCTATGGAATGTTATAGATTTTACTAGATTATTAATAGAATTTACCAACAGCAACAATTAACAAGATCTGCTGTCGGACACTGGGAAAAACCATAGTTAAAGCTATCAAAGCCATGTGAGCAGTTCTGATAAGAACACCAACTTACAAAAAGTTTCGTCTGATACTAAAACAGCAAGAATCAAAAGTTGAATAGAAGGAAGAAAGAACAGAATGATGATAGCTTATTCATATTTGCTAGTTAGGCTTAGATAGCAAGTGTTAATCAATTATAATGATAAAGTGGATATTGTTTATGTGGCATCCAAAAAGGTTCACACCTGACATGTTATCTTATTGCTATGGGGGGATAAGGGGGTAAGGGGGAGAGTAATTCAAGGAATATACCTCAGACTCCTAGATTTAGGTGTGTGGTCAATGCTGTCAAATGATCATTTTAGTTATCCAGCACCTTTTTGTGGTTTTTGGTTGGTATCAATTCCAGATTGGTATTTTAATAGTTAAGGTAGCTCTTTAGCTTAACTGGTCCTACTTATGAATTTGTTAAAAATTTTTGAATCCCCATTTTATTACCCCTCTGCTTTTTGATTTTTTATCATTAACCTTAAAGGATTATCAAGAATTTTTTTACCCTTGATCCAACCATTGTTTTAAAATCCACTGCCACATGATACAAGGTACAATAATGATTTGAGAATTTATCTGTTTCTTTTAACAACCAATGGGTCAACTCTTTATCCTTAAGAGATTTTCATTTCAGTATCATTCTAGACATCCCATGTTTCCCTCCTCCTAATTTTTTGTTTGCATTGGTTTAACCACACAATATTTCAAACCATTTCTAATTACCTGTTTTTTATAAGAAGTACTTATTCCAGAGCAAATTTAAAGCAAATTTTACTTGTGGTCAAAATATGTGCTAAAGACTGGTGGTTAGTTTTATGGTTTTAGATTATGTTGTGGATTGGTAAACATTTCTGGTCAAGAATAATGCAAATCGCGGACTTACAAGATTTTTTTAAGTATTTTCAAAGCTCTTTTCCAGGTTTTTTCCACTTTTTAACAAGGGACACATGAAATTCAATATCGACAAATGTAATTTCTTGGAATGTTAACAAAATAGATAGATTAAGCTGGTCTTATTTTTTTAGAATTGATTTTTAACCCACCAGTAGTATTTCATTTTGCCTTTTGAATAAACTCCTTAATTCATTTGGTAGGTTTTTAAACTCTGAAGCATTGATTTGGAAAAATTCACACTGAGCAGTTGTCTGAAGATTATGAAATTAGGATCAAAAGGGTTCAGTGTCTTTATTGAAAATTCTTACTTCTGATGGTGTGAAGATGAACACTCCTAAACAAATCTGTATCCTCTTATGCCATTAAACCAATAAAGAAAAGAAAAGGAATTCAGAGATTTTCTTCTTATCAATGGCTACCTAACAGGATCCAACAATCTACTCTTGTATTTAAGGTGTGGTGAATGAGTAAGCCTTTGCAATTTGTCCAGAGTGGGGTGTATGTGATATGCTCTTTTGCAGTATTTCCACTTTAAAGGTGATTTAAAAGGAAAGCTTGATAAAATAAACGATATTAATGTTATCCTTGTCTAATTTCGATCATTCAGGGGCAAAATTTGTTACTTTTTTGTTGTCTGTTTTGCTAAAGAAGGGGACAGGTGTAGTAAATATTGAAGACAGAACCCCCCTGTTCTTATCATTGTTTGATGTTGAAAACAATGGATACGCGTTTCGGTGGTCTGATTCCTCGAACAGGCATTTTTTTCTCACTGGAAAGAAGCAAAAGATAACAACCGCAAAGACTTAATCGCACATCCTGAACTCCCCTATTTCTTCAGTTGTCGATAAAATTTTAAAGGTACCACAGCTTCCTCTGAGGCAAACTTTTGCGTAATAGCCAGTGCCAAAAATGTCGCTTAAAACCATAAGAATCTGGTTTCTATTGGATACTACAAACCAAAGGAATCAAAAGGGGCTTCCCTGTTATAATGGGAGTTGCTTTATTAAACAGGAAAACCCCAAGAGCAGTGACATGAAAATAGTGAGATGAAAAATATTCCCCGCAATGATACGAGTAAAATTGGTGTTGATACGGCAAGTTTGAACAAATCTCCCAAAAGCTGGCCATCATTGGTACTGAGGCAGCCGAAATTCCAAGGTTTCCAAAACAAAATCCCGACTATGATTTGCATTTGACGTCATTTTTGGAATACGATACAAAATTATTTCAGGGTTCAATTACTTTATGACTTTGTTAATCTTGGGAATCTGGGCGGGGTAGCGAACCTCTCAGATATCTGCGTGCCGAAAATCCTCGAATTAGCGCCTCCGTCGAATAAGCGCTCCTGTCCCTTGAATAAGTGCTCCTATTCTCAAATCTAAACCAGTTTCTTGTTTATGGAGAAGATAAAAAAATGATAGTTTTGTTGACTTTGGGAGGAGAACTTACAACTTAATTTATAATAAGGCATGACTATTTTCCTCGCAGTCTTGTTGGGTCCCATCTGGAAAATGACCTTTTTGTAGGGTTCGATTTGAAAAATAATTATAAATCAATCCGCGCCAACTTTGAATGAGCCCCCTTATAAAACAGTCAAAAAAGTAAACTAGTTTTCAAGGTTTCTCTTAACGCCCCGAGTCCAGTGACATGTCTCTGCTAAAGTTTCATTCCAAAGTGAAATGTAAAATGTTCTCAGCGAGAGCCTCTTAGAAAAATGTGGATTGATTTGAAAAAAAAAGTTTAGGGGAAATCTGAAATCCGACAAGTGGGCCTTAAGTACCGTTCATAGCAAGGCCCACGCCACGAGTTTGAAAGAGGGGGGTCCAAGGCTAGCAAAAGTGGGGGGCCAAGTCTTCTTTCACCTTTTTTGTAGCATCGAAATGATTTACTTTGCAAAATAGTGGGGGGGGGGCATAGTCCCCGGTGGCTTGGCCACTGCATAATTTATAGAAGGGTTGGTAGTGAAGGGAATTGATATCTTGTCCAAAAAATCTTCTTACCCGACTAAAAAGGGGGCAGAAAACACTTACAAACCAACCTTTAAATAATGAGTGATCCCTTATTTTGACATTCTATAAAGGGGAAAGAAAGATTTTAACAAAATCATCGAGTGAAAGGAAAATTCTGACTTATTTGGACAGATTTGGTCTCGCTCCTTCGAGTGTTTCTTTTGAAAAATTGCGAATTTGTTGATTAAACGAATCAAATAGTCGTGTTGTCGAATTCTTATTGTTCTATTTACGATATTGACTTCCTTCATTTTTTCATCGAGTTAAACGTGCAAACAATTTGGCTTTCTGTCAGGGGGTAAAGGGGGAGCAAGAGTAGATCTCAGAGGGTGTTGATCAAAAATTTCATTGGCCTACGAAAGCCTCGGTAGAAAGCTATTTTTCTTCTCATCTAAAGGCTGATTAAGCTTGCAATGCAAAGTATGACGCCCCTTTCCTTTTGTTTTTTCGCTCTGCGGGACCGATCATATGACGTCATATATATTTACCTCTGCATACGGCTCAGTGAAATGTATCCTCTATTACTAGCAGTCAAGCACCCCCCTTTTCTCGTAGCACCGCAAACAAAAGGTATTCTTTCAATTATGCTAAATTCATATTGCCTTTCTATTGCAGATGCTAGCGATATTTATAAGGGTAACCTGAAGCTGATTCTCGGCTTAATATGGACGTTGATTTTGAAATACCAGATCAGTATGCCAATGCTAGATACTGATGATGAGCAAGGAAAAACACCAAAGCAAGCTTTGATGGGATGGGTGAAAAGCAAACTTCCACCCGAGGTATGTTTTTTAAACTTGTTCTGTCTTATATCTTCCTTTAATAAATCTCTTTCTTAGTTACGGAAAAGTGCAATTCATACGTAAAGATGTTTTTTCTTTGTTATTGTAAATTACTGATTTCAGGTGCTGTAAGTGATTTTCATGAATTATTTGGCGACACGATGAAAAACGGATATCCCTCTCAACTTAATTATTCTGTTATTGATCTACTGTTTCAATGAGACGTAAACCTACGGTTTGAAATGGCTTTTCTTTCTCAGAAAAGGAAAGTAGAGCTTGTGGTGAAGAATATCCATATTGTTTTTTTTTATTACAATTATTTATTCTAATGGTGATGGAGGTATTTGAAGTTGTTGAGAAAAGTTATCATTACTAACATTGAATCTTGATCTCTCTATTCTCTAGGTGAAGTGTGATAACTTTGCCAAAGATTGGAATGATGGTATTGCACTTGCCAGTCTTGTTGATGCCACTGCTCCCGGACTGTTCCCAGAATGGGAAGACCTGAATCCTGCAAACAAATTGGACAATGCCAGAGATGCCATGAAGAGAGCCGAAGATTGGCTTGGAATACCACAGGTATGGAGTTATTACCTTTCTCAGTGCAGATCATTTATATGCAAATAAAACTACGATAGAAAATGAAGTTAGCTCGCTTGCTTTATCGTGTCTCTTTTCTGCCTAATCTTGCTCCTTTTATAATTTAAAGAGTTACTTTTTTCCACTCTGTTTCTCTTTTCAAATCACTTTTCTTGCTTACTAGTTCGTTATTTTCTCTCTAGTTATATTTAACTTATTTTACATTCGCTGACAATTTTTCCAGGTCATCACCCCAGAAGAGATCACAAATCCAAATGTGGACGAACTCAGTGTCATGACCTACGTTTCGTACTTCCCAGAAGCTAAGGTGAAACCTGGTGCTCCAATCAAACAGAAGATGACCGATGCCTCTAAATGCAGAGCCTGGGGTCCTGGTATTGAATCGGAGGGTGTCATTGCAAACCAAGCAGCTGATTTCTTTGTTGAAGCAACTGGATCCTCAAAAGGCAAAGTTAATGTTTCTGTTTTGGGACCTGGAAGGAAGCAAATTGATTGCGAAATAATTGATAACCACGACAATACATATTCGTGTCGCTATGTTGCACCGAAGCCTGGTAAGTATCTTGTTTTGTTGTTAAACAAAATTGACGCTTCTTTCCAGACATCAGCGGAACAACTAAACAGCAATTCGACGTCCGGCCTCGTTTTGGAAATTTCTACCAACTTCATTATTCGAACTTTTTAAGCTCAGATTCGGTTTTATCACCATGATTTTAGGCTGGGCAAAATTTTTCGCATTTTTTTTAGATTTCACGAAGAAATCAAGTTTGAAAACCTGTAAGGGATTTGACCGCAAAAATCATTCCGGGTGAAGTTTTACCCTCTTAGTCGCCAGTTATGGTCAAATCTTTATGTCAAATCGTGAGCAATACCAAAATGAAAACTTCCAAGTAGACTAAAATCCTCGCTCTCAATCCGAATCTGAGGTCAAAAATCTTGCAAATAAGAATTTGAAGAATTTTTCAAAATAAGGCCGAAAGTTGAATTGGTTCAAAATATTTCTTGCCTAGTAGATATTCGCTGATTTCATTCTCTTTATAGCTGAATATAGCTGAATCTGTTATTTACACACTCGTGTCACACCCTTTGCAGGTTTTTTTTTCGAGTTTCATTATAACACTCCGTAAAAAACTTGTCGATTAGTTTTAGGATATTCGAAAGCTAATATCTAGGAAACGTTAGTGAAGCACACGAAATATTAACGGGTTCAAATTGCTTTAATGAATAAGAGATATTGTAATGTTATACCCAGCCACAGCCAGGACAAATTGTATGTCAGCCTTCTAATTTTATTGAGACATTACATAGCGGTAATAGGCGGGGTAAATGTTAATCCTCTTGAGAGTGAGTCCACTGATTGATGTATTTTTCAAAATTTGTAGGAATACATAAAGCTTTTCTTAGAATCTTTATGGGCAAAATATATTGTAAGTTGATTGTAAGGCTAGTCGGAATTTCGAACAATCTGGATTAAATGACACCGCCCGTTTTGGGACAAATGTGGTTTCTAAACCTTGAATATTGAAGCAGATCATAGAAAAGTGTTTTAGGATTATGGTAATAAAACTTGTTTAGGAATAATTTAATTCCTTTTTGTTTCTAGAAGAATAATTATAGCTAGTATATTTTCTAAAGTAAATTCCCGACTGTCAAACTTGTTAGTCCTTGTGTTGATATTTTCATTCACTACAGGGCGGTTTTTGGTGTTTAGCAGTTCTATTGCAACCCTACTGCACAGATTCTCTATGCTAGAGAATGGAATGTTTTGCGGTTTCCCGTATCTTGCTTGTCAAATTTTGTTGTTCTGGGTTTGCTGAATATGGGGTTCCATTTTCTATCAAGTGCAAAAAAAAGAATAACTCCCTTTGCAACAGATTAGGTGTTCTTTTTCACGTTGCGTTTTTGTGTTTTAAAATGTAGTTATTGTTTATTTAAGCAACCTAAACAGAAACTTTAGCACTTAAATTAACAAAAAGATCGAGAAACTGAATACTAATCTTGAGCTTAGTTTCTTTTACTAAAGTACCATAGCTTGCAAATGGCAAAGTGACAAATAAATGTAGCAAATAAGAAACATCGCAATGCGCCGACAATAAACAACAAAAAATACACGTAAATCAGTGAAGGCTAATATTTCGCCCGGCATTGGGGCTTCATCAGAGCAAACGTGACAAATGAATGCTTGTAATTTGGCGGCATAGTATGCAAGCTGTTGTTATCTTCTATACGACGTCCTACAATTTTTTTTCTTTATCCCTGTTTTTCGTAGAAGCATAAGTTACAAAACATTTACCGTCCATTTTATCGAATCCTAGGCATTTACGATGTGCATATTCGAATTGGCGGACATCACATTCCTGACAGTCCGTTCCGCGTCAACGTCAGCTCAGATGTCGATGCAACAAAGGTTTATGCTAGGGGGCCAGGTCTTGAGCCAACTGGTGTTATTGTCAACAGACCAGCTAAGTTTGAAGTTGTTACATCTGGAGCAGGCCACGGAAATGTCCATGTTGATATTATTGACCCTAAAGGAAATAAAAAGACTGAACTGCAAATCGAAGATCAAGGGAATGGCATTTTTGCTTGCCAGTACCTCCCCTCCGTTGTTGGAAAATACGTCATCTGCATCAAGTTTGGTGACTCTGAAATTGCGAAGAGCCCATTCAGAGTCCAAGTGGAAAAGGCAGCGACCAGAGTCAATATATACGGCCCAGGTATGTGCCTTTAAGTTGAATTTTGTGTAATTTTGGATGGGGCATAATTATATCCTCCTAGGCAAAGGAGTAAGAAAAGAAAGGCTAAATAACATTATTTAAAAGGTATTTGTCCCCTCGCCCATACATATATAAGATTTCAAAGACATCAGTGAAAACCTCGTTTTTCTTGTTCTAAGCTTGTGCATAGTGCTGTGAAAACATGGTTTTTGTTTTGTGACTTGCTTATTTTAAAGACATTCGAACAATTTTTACTCCTGAATATGCTGTCTTGATTTTTCATGAACTTCCATAAATCAATATCAAATTAATGCATAAAATTGTCGATGACATATTTTTGGTCACTTTAGAACGCTGCTAAGGATTAAATTGTTAGTTAGGTTGATCTTTTTTCTATCGTGCTCTTTTGTTTTCAGGTTTAGAGCCAGGTTTGAAGACAGGAAAGCCGGCAACATTCACCGTAGACTGCAAAGAGGTTGGTGTAGGAAATCTGGATATCGAGATTGAGGGACCAGGAAGAGGTGATGTTTCTTGTGACGTGGAAGATAATGGCGATGGCACATTTACTTGTACCTACAGGCCTATGAAACCTGGAACATACATCGTCAAAGTTCGTTATGACCAAGAACCTGTACCAAAGAGCCCTGTTAAAGTTACCATCACATCGAGCGCCGATCTTAGTAAGATTAAAGCTTGGGGGCCAGGACTTGAAGGAGGTATGTAACATGATATTTTGTTTATAAAGCGGCGTAACAACTATCTTGAGGTAGATGACTTACAACTTATTGATCGATCATGTCGAGGCATTATATAGAAAAAAGGAGGTTTTTAAGAAGGGTTGCTAGGTTTAAGGCTTTTTAATGGTGAAATTATTAGGACGACATAAACATCGTTAAGGACTGTCAAGAAAGTGATCTTATAGCATTAAAGCGTAGTTGGAGGTTTGAGTTGAATGTGTTTTTGTATATGTTATATTTTTGTAGGCGTTGAGGGAATGCCAGCTGAATTTTATGTCGAAGCTAAAGGAACAAAATTGGACAGTCTGACCTTTGCTGTTGAAGGCCCTGGCAAGGCCCCAGTTGAAGTTGAGGAAACTGGGCCAAGCAAACTGACTATTCGGTATTTCCCAGAGGAGAAAGGTGAATATGTCATCCACGTGATGTGTGAGGAAATCGACATCCCAACCAGCCCATTCAGAGTAAAGATCGTTGCCAAGGGTGATGCCAGTAAAGTTTACGCTGATGGACCAGGATTGAAACCAGGCTGCATGACCGGTAAGGACAAAAATAGTAAAAATACATTTTCGCCCTTAAAGCGAGATCCACGAACTGAAAGTACTAGAGGCTATAGGGCGTCAAGTATCGTTCTGTGGCGTTGATTCTTAGGGGTTCTGCGTTACCCGTTAATGCTATGGTGCTGTAATTCCCCTACAACATAGGTTTTCCACACGGGCATAAGCACCTTTTCATAAATAGCATCGAAAGCGTAGTTAAACTCAATATCAGCCGGCCAGAACAAAGGACGATCTTAAAGCTGCTCTATAACTAATGTATAGGCCAGTACGTGTTAAAGCTTAAATCTCGGGATAAGCTTTAGGTTTTTCCATAAGGTAAGCAATGGACCTAAATACGTACTGAAAAGCATCTAATCATAGCAGATTTAATGCTTCAAGATGGCCTGGGCAATGCCAAAATCAATTTAAAAAAATTTTGTATGAATTGTGTGACGAAATATTTAGACAAAATTGTAGTTTTCTGCAAGGATTTTTAATTAAATACTGCGTGATCTGCCTAATTGATAAAATTTTATTCAAAAATTATTTCGTTAATTGAAACTTTTATTCGTTCTTTTTAACACTCTATTCATGCACATGATTTATATATTATGTAATTATTTGATGGCTGGGTAAAATGTATCAGGATGTCTCGGTTAAGGTCACGTGGTCATGCAGTGTGATGCCTCGTAGCCGCTATTTTGGAGCGGCTATAGTATTTTGTGTCTTGTTCAGCCTATGGGCCTAGCGGATACTAAGCGCTTCGAGGGGTTAGTACGAATCTTGTCCGAAATTTAATGCTTTATTGATGAAAAACTGTCTGAATGGAGCCTGAAATGCGATACAATTTTCCTGGTTAGGAGGCTGCATCCCTCCCAGCCCCAGTGTCTCGTTTGCCTTTTGTTAAACCTGCGATTTTCATATGGTGGATGACATCATTTCATGAATGTTGAACCAGAAATTTTTCATAACTTGTTGAATGTACCTGCAATATGATTTTGTTTTCTTATCAGCTGTTTTTACAACATACCTGGTTGTTATGGAACCAAAGTGTAAAAGATAATTTTCTTGCAAATGTTTTCCCTTATTTCCAAAACAGCGTCTATACAAGTTACTGTAAACAGTTGAATCTTTAAAACGATTTATCGCAGTTTTTATAGACATTTGACATTCTAGTCAAATAAACGTTGTCTACTGCTGAAACTACGGCCACCTTTTGTCTGAATCATGCTAAACATTTGTCAATAAGGTTGAATTAAATTATTCTACTTTCCGACTATTTGCTTCTTGGAGTTTATTTCTGGGAGACAGCGACACATCTGATTGTTGTCAACTGCTTACGTGTATCAACTTGGGACACCAGAAATCTTTTCCAGCCCCATATCCGAATGCTTCTTGCCATTCAAACTGCACATAATCCTAGTTTTCACTACATGCCTCGCTTTTCTCACCAGTGTGGATTAAGAACCTTGCTGTTTGTTTTTCTGGTTACAATCGACGCACACCAGTGTTCTTTTTTAGCAGGTGGAAAAGTTTTCGTTAATGAATTCTTTCAGTTGATCTCTATCAAAGGCTGATATAACGGTTCAGAGGAGGTGGAGTTTCTTCTCACTGGAAAGCTCAGTTTGAGATTTAGTTTTATTATGCATCCAAATATCAAGGAGAGAGATATCACAGTGCATAAATGTAGTGATGACTTTGTTTCTTCAATTTTCTGGGGTTTTGGTTGAGGAAGATTAAAAAAGACAAAACAGCTTGGACACGTTTATGTTTTCGCAAGGATCTCAAAGAAAGTTCGACTGTAAACCCATGATTTAACGACAGACGTCTCCAAGGGCTGTTACTTGTATGGTTTGGGTCAAGGGTTGAAGCAATGATGTTATTCCCGCGTGCTGCTGATTTTTGACGTTTTCGTTTGCCCCTTAATGTTGCTGGTGATTTTCTAGGAAAAGCTTTAAAAGTTCGGAGTTTGTGTTGCAAAGTTATTCTAGAGCTGCAATTTTTTATCCTGTGCGATCATTTTATATCAAAAGACATGACAGAATGATTGATTTTTGTTGTCACGTGATAACATAATCAGCCTAGATTTCCGTATTAGCATGGACTCTTAGCCAAATCTCGTGACTAATGTGGTTTACTGACTTCTAATCACAATAAGGATGCACACTTACTTTCTCTCGGGTCAGGGATCTGGCACTAGTGTCGTCATCTTTGTGACATCCTAGTTCCGAAGTGGAAATGCCTTGCCCAGAGTTGAATGGGCATGGTTTAAATGATGTGATGAGAAGCACTAACCCTGGAGTGCATAGTACTGAATGTTTGCGTCAGTCAGATTTGTCGTTAACTGTTCTTGAGTGTGAAATGCCACCAGACTCTACAGTTTGCTACAGGCCGGAGGATGGAGGTAAAGTATTGGTGCATGTTTTTTGCCAAAGAAACTCTTCCCTCAGGTATTCTGCAGTCCCTGTCTGTTGTTGTAGCCTCCTCGAATAATGCAAATTGCTTTTTAGTACCTTTTAGGTGTTTACGGTACTTTAATGTTGACTTTAACGGAAAATGTCTTCTTTTAGGCCGCCCTGCAGAGTTTACCGTTTTTACACACAAGGCAGGCGGTGCTGGAAAAGTAGAGGTTATCTGCACAGACGAAGATGGCACCCCTGTGGAAGTTAAGATGAAGGACAATAGAGATGGCACTTACTCTGTCTCTTACATGCCAGTTAAACCAGGAACATACACTGTTACAATCAAGTTTGCCGCAGCCAACATCCCAAAGAGCCCGTACCAGGTACAAAACAAATCTTTTTAGGGACTTGTAATGTATATGTTGCCAGTGAGGACGATGTAAATCTTTATCGCTTTGAAACCTTTACTCATTATTTTCTTTCGGCATAATATTTTGTTAGGCATTTATTTCACCGAAGCTGTCTGCTGTTAAGAAATGTTTTGCTGAGAGCGTTTCAAAATATCCCTGAAATTATGTTTTTCCTCGATTCTTGCATAAGATAAAAATTATTCGTTCTATGGTTTTCATTTAAATGATTGTTCCTAGGTTCTCATCAAACCATACTGCGACCCAACCAAGGTCAAAGTGACCGGAGCTGGTCTTAAAGGCGGCAAAGCGAACAAACCAGCGAATTTCGAAATTGATGCTAGCAAAGCTGGTGAGGGTGGTATTGGCCTAACGATTGAAGGACCTGTTGAAGCTGACATCAAATGCGATGATCATGGAAATGGAACGTGTAGCGTGGAATACTTGCCAGTTGAAGATGGCGAATACACAATCAATGTACTTTTTGCAGATGTGCATGTACCCGGAAGCCCCTTCAAAGCCATAGTTAGCTCTGACTTTGATGCGTCCAAGGTAAGTTTTGTTTTTGTGTTTTTTTGGATTTATCTGGGAAGATTTTCAAATATCAGTGAGATCCATGTGTATAGGAATGTGTTGTGCTGTTTAGTGGGCATAGCAATGTCATATTGCTCAAGATAAGCTTTATAGTGAAAAGGAATAGTTACATAAAAGTGTATAAATCTTTATATCATATTTGGAGCAAAGAGTAGGGTTGGCTAAATTATATTCCAAATACAAAGTTTATAGCATAACTTTATTATGTTGGTACTGTAAATTTTGTTTATGACGTAACCATGATTTCAATTATTAGGTGAAAGCTACCGGCCCCGGACTTGAACCAGGTTGCAAAGCCGGCAGACGTCTACCAATCACAGTCGACAGCCGTAAAGCCGGAAAGGCCGCATTAAACGTGGTGGTCACTGATGAGGTTGGAAACCCTGTTGATGTTGAAATGAACGAACTCGAACCAGGTCTACATGAAGTATTCTACAGCCCAAAATCACCTGGTATATACTTTTGAAATTTCACCATCATCAATATTTTCAATTTATTGATATACTGTCCAGGCATTTTGCCTTATGACTCAACCAAGATGTTAGATTTCTGCACTTATAAATGTTATCATTCGGTGAAATATAGTAGCATGTTTGAAATACGATCATTAAGAGTATTTGCCTTTGAGTATGTTATCTTCGAAGATGGCTCTAAACTGAAGTATGCTCATACTATCGTCTGAAGATTACTTAAATTATTCCACATGATTGTATTACTGTGGCATAGATTTAAGTCATTGCCCACTGTGAAAATTCATAATGTTTTACTTCTGTATTGCTAATGTCATCTGTATTATTGAATTCATTAAAATTTCCGTGTTTCTCAGGCGAACACACAATCACAGTCACATTCGGTGGCAAGCCAATACCAAAAAGCCCCTTCAAAGTCAAGATCGAGCCAGCTGCTGATGCAAGCAAAGTCAAGGTATCTGGCCCAGGTATTAAACCAACTGGTATTAGAGCAGAGGAACCAACGTACATTGAGATTGATGCCTCTGAGGCAGGTGAAGGTAATGTTGATGTTAGTATCGAACCAGACAGCCGAAGAATGCCAAAGGTTGATGACATTGAGGTTAAAGAGGGAGACAAGCCAAACACTTACATTGTTACGTATGTACCACCAAAGAAGGGTAAATATACAATCACTATCAAGTTTGGTGGTGATGATGTGCCAAAGAGTCCATTCAAGATTGATGTCGAGCCAGGAATTGATGTATCGCAATGCAAGGTTTACGGGCCTGGATTGGAAGAGGTTATCGTTGGACAAGAGTCATCGTTCACAGCTGAATGCCCCGAGGAAGCCGGTATGTTGTAATATTTGCAGATTCTTCCCAATCTTATTTTTAGTTCCGATTGGTTTTCTATATAACTTAACTGCTGTACTAGAGATCCAAGAGAACCTTTTTGGTAGACATAAAAAGGACCCTTGATTAAACGGGGTAAAAAAACAAAGCAAGATTACGTCTTTGGTTTAAGCCAAATATTTTCTTTTATTTGCTGGAGAATCCGTCGATAGTATTGCCCCTGGCTTTTACATAAGCAAATGATGTCTTGTATGTTATAGCATCTGGTAGTGCAGATTCGAACATTTCCGTTAGATTGCTTTCAGTATAAGTTCAGGAGGCGTTGTTTCACTTTTACATGTTGCATTTGGCTTTGTAAATTGAATATCCTAAAACAACATTCCTTTATAAAGGTCCTGGTAAACTGTCAGTCACAATTGAAAACCCTGACGGCTCCCAGACTGATGTCTTAGTCAAAGAAGGAAAGAAAGGTGTCTTCACTATAAGCTGGACAGCTAGCATGATCGGCAAACACAAGGTCGTTGTTAAGTTTGGAGGAAAAGAAGTTCCCGGAAGTCCATTTGCAGTCAGTGCATTGATGAAGGTAAGGTTCTTTTTTATATACAAAAGAAGAGCTAAATTCTTTGTTAGAGTTTGAGAAAAAATTCGTTGGAATTATATTTTGAAAAGATGAAAAAGAAAATTTATAGGCCCAGATGCTTTGTATAGAGGAAGAAAATCTGTTCTGTGATTGCATTTTTGAAAGATTAAATTGGTTTCTTAATAAACTTATTCCTATGATGACCTTTCAGGGTGACGCAAGCAAAGTCAAACTCTCTGGGCCAGGACTCGAGAAGGCAATCGTCGACAAGCCAAACGAATTTGTAATCAACACAAAGAACGCCGGTGCTGGAAATCTCGGTCTCGCAATTGAAGGCCCAGCTGAGGCAAAGATCACTTGCAAAGATAACGGTGATGGTACATGCACGGTTAGTTATATTCCAGTTGAACCCGGAGATCATGAGATCAACGTCCGATTTGCTGATGAACATGTGCCTGGAAGCCCTTTTGTTGTGCCAGCTTACTTGCCAGTAGATGCCAGCAAGGTTAAATGCAGCGGTGATGGTTTGAAGAAGAACGTGGACGCCAGCTTTCCACAAGAATTCATCATTGATGCCTCAAAGGCTGGAGATGCACCCCTGGAAGTGGAAATTACAGGACCGGACAGAAAGCCAAGAAAACCGGAGATCACCGACAACAAGGACGGTACTTACAAAGTGAAATATGTGCCAGATGTAGAAGGTAAGTTAAGTCCAAATTTCTTGTTGTTACTAAAATATCGTTTTTTCAGACTATTAACTCATAAAAAGGCGCTTTGCTGCAGTGCAGGCTCTACGAAAAGTATCAAGCATAATTTCCACTTCGGACTAGACTGTTGCTTGCTAACGTTTCACCACATTGAAACTCTTAGTTGAATAATTAATGCATCGGCTCATTTTTTAATAGATATACTTGATTAATCTATCATGAATTTTAAAAAATATGCTATTTCTTCACAAGTTTGCTTTTTATCTTCCGATGATAGTTCTCAATCCCAAAGATTAGAATTAAGAAATACTTTTTGACAACTAAGCAAAGAAGCAAAGCAAAGATATTTTGACATTAAAATAAAAATTTTGGTTTACTTCCGCAATATCTGAAAATGTTCATGCAGCGATTGAATTGTGTAGAATAAAGAATTAGTATTTATTCGATTTATAGTCATTCGAATTGTCCTTATCGAATTTTCTATGATGGAAATCTCTTTATTTTATCACCACCACGGGCATCATAATGGACATTCTCAAAATGCACCTTAGTCCTAACTTGTTAGGCTCTATTTAAAAGCTCTTCATGTTTTGTGAACGTTAGAGTAGTAAAACCGCTACTGCATTTATCAGTGCTGAAGACCAATGATTCACAAAGAGGCTATTCAGATCATTCTAATCGATTCTGTCAATCAGCAGCATTGTCTCGTTTCCCCAAATGCAGGTTATAAGTCATAAACATACAAGTATTTGTAGCTGAATCGAGCCACCCTTTGCATCCCGCGCTTCTGCCATTCTGGAGTTATGACAGGCCTGTCTTATATCCATTCCTTCAGACAATCGCTTCACTGATGAATAAGTTTTATTTGTCAGCTCCTAGTCAGCCTATTCAGTTGATGCATGTTGTACATGCATTGCCTTAGTATGCGCTATCCTAGGTATGAGTCAGTTTGTAGAATTCTCTGTAGCGAATGCACACTTATCGGCCTTTGTAAACAATGAGGAAGTCACAGGAAAAGAAGGTTTTTAAATCACAGGAAAAGAAGGTTTTTAAATCACAAGAAAAAGGGGTCGTTAAGACACAGGAAAAGAGGGTTGTCGATTTACAAGAAAAAAGGGTTGTCAAGACACAGGAGAAGAGGGTTGTCAATTTACAAGAAAAAAGGGTCGTTAAGACGGATACTAAAGGTAAAAGAGGTGCAATGTTAAGTATTCATCGTGTTTTTTAGCGTTTGCAATCACGATATCTATCAAAATGTAACCGAATAATATTTGGGACTGCTCCGAGTTTATCAAAATACAAGCCAGGTTTTTTGCTCTTGTTCGCATTTAGATTCCTATATCTGTTGATTTTTAGTTGTTCTTATTTAGCTATCCATTTTTATCAAAGGTCGTTACACCATTGGTGTCAAGTATGGTGGAGATACAGTAGCTCAGTCTCCGTTCCGCGTACAGGCCAATCCGACCGGTGATGCATCAAAATGCAAAGTATCCGGACCAGGAGTGAAGAACCCAAGCGTTGGAAAACCTGCAAAGTTCGAGGTCGATGCCACGAAAGCAGGCAAAGGTATGAGTAGCGTCTAGCTTTCGAAATAATTGGCTTAGAATTGAAAATATTATACAATGTTTCCCAGAGGGGAGTTTAGTGGAAGGTCGTTGCAAAGTTTCGTCTTTTTTACTTATTTTTGGCTTTTATTCACAGATATCTTCTGACTTATTTTTGATGGTGTAATAAATATTTTTTATCGCTGACTGATTCTTTTAGTAACATTTTAGATTGATTATCAATAGATATTGCAGTAGAAAGCAGTTATTACTAATTACACAAATGATGATTGATTGATTTATTTGATAGAGGATGAGCGATCGCAATGATTACGACTGATAGAAATGATTATGATTTGTTATTCGTTGCTATTTCATAGGTAATGTCACGCCAAAGGTTCGCAACCCAGTTGGGGATGAAATCCCATGTGAAGTCAAAGAAGTTGATGACAATGTTTATGCATGCTCATGGACACCGGAGGAGCCAGGAGATCACCTCGTTGATGTTAACTTCGGCGGCAGACCAGTCAACGGTTCACCATTCAAAGCCAAGGCGATCGATGGCCCTGATACCAGCCCAATCAACACTGATGATCTTGCCAGTCAACTCGCAGATGAACCTGTTGTTGATCTGCCAGTTGAGTCAGTCTTGGACTGCTCAGAACTCGAACCAGGTTTGTGGCGTCATCAGTATCTTTTTATTTGGTAGCTTGTTATAATCAATGAACAGTGATTCAAACTTTTTTTATTTTCGTTTGAATCACGTTTGAATCAGAATTTTTTTATTATCGAAAGTTCGAGTTATCCAGAGTTTGCCTAAACAAAGATTATTATCAAGGGTAAATGTTTTTGTTTGGAATAGGATCAAGTCAAATGACACTGAAAGTGCACTTTTTGTTGTTGCAAGAGACCTGTTAATAGAGTTGTTAAAACCTAAAAAGAATTCTCTTTAGTAACTCTATTTAAAGAAATTTACCTGTTTAGGTTGAGAAAGCAAGTAGAGTTCGCCCTGGGTTTAGTATTTCACATGTGAACAATTGTCCAAAGACAAATATTTTCTAGTCGTCGTTATCAAAGTAAATGCTGGTTGACTTTTCTCACGCAAGGGTCTCTCAGTCATTTAGAGAAAAAGCGTATACTCTAAAAATGATAAAAACATCCTGCACTTTAAGCCCCATGCAGGCGACTTATTGGGAATCATCATTGGTTTATCCTTTAGACAGTCTATTTCCTGTGTAGCATTTGTTCAAATAGAGGAGTTAATAATTTTAATAGAGGAGTCTTCAATATTTTTATCTATTTTGGATTTTTCATTCAGGAAAGTTGGAAGGACTTGTCACAACACCTTCTGGAAAGAAAGACAAAGTAAAGGTTAGTGACAATGGCGATGGTACCTATGATATTGAATATACACCAAAGGAACTCGGAGTTTATACTCTTGATGTCACTTACGAGAATGTACCAGTCCCAGGAAGTCCATTTAAGTTCAAGGTTGTCAAACCAGGACCACGAAAGGTTAAAGTGCATGGCCCAGGTAAGGAAGAAACTCTTGCAGCTTTTTTCATTTTTTTGTATACTCTTTGTTTATTTTCTTTCTTGACATTGTTCATCTTGTGATTGAGTTCGTATTAGTTTCATGAAGCTGGTCAAGTTTTTTTTCGACTCCTAGTTTTCGACCCCTTTTTAGCCTTTTTATTTGTCACTACCCCCCTCCCTCCTCATTTTCCGCCTGTTTCTGCATTTTTCAACATCCCATTGCAGGCTTGAGTATTTTTCCGTTCATGGTATAAATAGGTCACAGTTGTTAATTATTTGAAGTATATACATTATTTTATATGGAAGAAAGCATTTGTATCGCCTGGAGCACTCCACTTAATTGCCATACCTCTTATCTACAGGACTGAAGAAGGGTTACGTAAACAAGCCAAACGCATTTATTATTGATACAAAAGGAGCCGGACCGGGTGAGCTGTCGCTTGCTGTTGAAGGGCCCAGCAAGGCTGACTTTGAATGCATCGATAATGGCGATGGAACCTGCACTGCTACATACATTCCTAAAGAGCCAGGTAACATTAATTTTTTTTTCATAGTAGAGAAATTCAAGCTCTTTTATTTTGACTTCGAAATGATGTGCGCCTATGAGCTCTGTGCATCTATGACGCAATATAAGTGCTTTTATTATTATTTATTTTTATTACTATATACCTGCTACCCATAAACCAAAACGTAGCACACACCGTCGACTATGGAAATACAGTCGACTCCGGTTATAGTTGTATCAAATATCACTTTATATGGGGCTTGAATGATTAGTTGTGGATGTTTAAGTGACACCGAGCGTGACTCTTAAGTGCAGAGTTATTATAAGTGAATGAAAACATAGGCCACTTTTTGCCAAACCTCTAGGGTCAGAAACTTGTTTATTGGGGGAGAATGTACTGACAATCAGACCCAGTGTCATTTTTGAATGGACATCATTGAATGTTATTTTAGTGTAATCCTGGTGTATTTGAAAACTTAACGATACAGCTATCCGAGGTACGAAATTTATTGTACAGTTTTGTTATACAGTTGAAGTATCTTTGATATTTATATGAATAAAAAAATATTTATAAAGTTATTTTGATATCCATTAGGTACCTATGACATCTTCATCAGTTTCGCCAATGAAAGCATCCCTGATGCTCCAATCAAAGTGCAAGTTGTCGAGGAAGAGCCAATGCTTGAAGTTGGAAAGGAGGCTGAACTCAACATGGCTCCAGACGATGTTCGTGTTCCAAGTGACTTGCCTTCTCTCAGTGGTGTTTTGTCTTCCCCAAGAAAGGACACACCAATCGATCTTAAAGAGGGTCCAAACAAAACACTTAGTGCCAATTTCACACCAGTTGAAGCTGGACGAAACGATTTGCATTTGAAGAAAAAAGGGAAAGAGTTGCCCGGATGCCCAGTTCCTCTCCTGGTTCGTGACAAACCGGAGATCGGAAAGCCTTGCAAGATTCCTTTCGAGCTACCTGATGTTGACAGGAAGAAGGACATCAACAAACTCAAGGGTAGTCTTATCAGGCCAAACGGAAAGAAGGAACCTTTGGATGTTGATGTGACACCTGAAGGAGATATATCTGTAACTTTCACGCCCAACGAAGCAGGCAAGCACATAATCAATATCAAGAAAAACAAGAAGCACGTCGAAGAAAGCCCATACGTGATTATCGTGCCAGGTGAAGAATTGGCACCAACTGCTTTGGTTGGTAGTCCATGTGATGTCAATCTCGACTTGCCAGATGTTGTTCTTCCAGATGACTTGAAAGATCTTAAAGCTACAGTTGAAAGACCAAATGGAGAGGAAGAACCTTGTGAGATGTCAGTCAACAAAGACAAGACTTTGGCTGTATCCTTCACCCCACGTGAGCCAGGTCTCCATCTTATCCACATCAAGAAGAAGCGTAGACCAGTTAAGGGAAGCCCATTCAAGGTTATGGTTGAACAAGCACCAAAACCAGTGAAAAACCCAACAGTTGGAAACCCATGTGATGTTAACTTCAGCCTTCCAGATGTCAACTTGCCTGAAGATTTCGAGCATCTTACTGCTGAACTCGAAAGGCCAACTGGTGCCACGGAACCAGTCGACCTCAAGCTTAATCCAGACAACAGTTTGTCTGTTAGCTTTGTTCCAACAGAACCAGGCATGCACCTTATCCATATAAAGAAGAGACGAAGACCAATTAAGGACAGTCCAATCAAGATCATGGTCGATGAAGCTCCAGAAGCTGAAAAAGCTCCCACTGTTGGAAACCCATGCGATGTTAACTTGGAACTGCCTGATATTGTATTGCCTGATGACCTGTCAGAAATCACAGCTATTCTCGAGAGGCCAACACTCATGAGAGAGAAGGTGCCAGTCAAGGCTAACCCGGACAATACTTTGGCAGTCTCATTTGTGCCCCAGGAAGCAGGTCTTCACCAAATCCACATCAAGAAGTCAAGGAAGCCAGTTAAGGGTAGTCCATTTAAGGTCATGGTTGAAGAAGCTGTCCCTGCGGAGAAGCAGCCAACCGTAGGAAATCCATGTGATGTGAACTTGGAATTGCCAAGTCTTAAGCTTCCAGATGACCTCAAGAAACTAAAGGCAACACTGACAAGACCAAACGGAAAGAAAGAGCCACTAGAATTGACAGCCAATCCAGACAATACTCTCGGAATGCATTTTATTCCAGAACAACCTGGCAAGCACATTATTGAAATTCTTAAGGACAGGCGTCCTGTGGAAGGAAGTCCTATTGAAATAATGGTTGTAGAAGAAGAACCATCAAAGAAGGAGCCTACAGTTGGTGATGAGTGTGCCCTTGATCTGGACATCCCCGGCCTAGACTTACCTGGTGATCTCAGCAGACTGAGTGCTACTTTGAAGAGGCCATCAAAGACAAAAGAAGAGCCAATTGATATTGAAGTAACACCAGAGAAAACCATCAGTGTCAAATTTGTTCCAACCGAGCCTGGAGAACATCTCATCAGCATCAAGAAGGATCGTAAACACGTACAAGGCAGTCCTTTCTCTGTCAATGTAGTTGGTGCCCCTATTTCAGAAGACATTGTCCCAGAAACTGAACAGGTCGCCGAGTCTGCCGCAGATTTCCCAGACTTTCCAGATTACCCTGAAGAGCAGACCAAACCAGCTGTTGGTGCTCCACATAATTCAAACTTCAAAGTACCAGGAATCAAGCTCCCTGATGATCTACCTTATCTTACTGCTGTTCTTGATAGACCTAATGGTGACAAAGAGCCTTTGGATGTCAAGCAAGGTCCAGATGAGACAATTGCAGTCTCATTCACACCTAAAGAATCTGGTGAGCATTTGCTGCACATTAAGAAGAATCGCAGAGAGGTATGTTTCTCAATAATTTTTTGGATACGCGCTTCTATCGGTTAAGGATTTAAGGCAAAGTAGCTTCATATCAGTATATGTCGCCATAAGCGGAGACAGTACACTCATTTAATTTCTTCCATACAACAACTGGTCCATGCTTCTATACCGCATGTGATACATTTATATGTTATATCTATCATGTCAAATTGGCGAAAGACGCCTTGCTTAACATCAGGCAGCTCTATTCTTAAATATTTTTGTGATATTTATGGCTATTTTATGAACGTTGTTTTTGTACCAAGATCGAATAAACGATAATCGTGCTTCGTAGGCAAAGTTTTGAGGCCTTAATTAATAATGCCTTGAAAAGAAAGACAAGTGTTAAACAATGCTGATGTTGCATCGAGCAGGATGACTGTAGCTTCAACCAAACCACAGTCCTAAAATCACGTTTTTGCGACAGTTCAAAATCACAAATTGTGACAGTTCATTTCAAATCGATTTATTTATGTGCCAGCCAGTATTCTTGTGAAAACCTGTGCAGTAGAATAAATTTCAAAAAATGAGTTGATTGTGATTTGCTGACGGCGGATTTTTTATTGTATTTCAGGTTTCTGGCAGCCCGTTTGTTATCATAGTAGAAGGAATGGAACCAAAGAAATCACCTGCAGTTGGAACTCCATGTGACGTCAACCTTGTTTTGCCTGATATATCACTACCAAATGACCTACCATACCTTAAAGCCAAATTGACACGTCCTAATGGCAAAACTGAGCCACTGAATCTTAGTGTGGGCCCAGACAATTCCCTGTCAATGAATTTCACGCCAACCGAGACAGGAAAACATGTTATTGATATCACAAAGAATGGAAAGCCTATCAAACAGAGTCCTATTATAATTCTTGTAGAGGAAGAAGAGAGACCAAAGGTAATTCATGATTTTGTTCTTGGTTACTTTTGCTTATGTTTCTGAACATTGTTTGCCACCAAGCAATGACTCTTTAAATGGTAAAACTAAACATTACTTTATAGTTTTAATTTGTCAAACTATTTTTATACAGTTTTCACATTTTCTCAAATGACAGACATTTTTCTATATAATAATCCATTTGATCCACTCTTTAGGTACCGACGGTTGGAAATGTGTGTGACGTTAACTTGGATATTGAAGGAATCCAGCTACCACGTGATCTTAAACACTTGAGTGCTACATTGAAGAGACCATCTGGAAAAGAGGAACCTATGGAGGTACGATGCAATGATGACAATACCTTGAACTTGTCGTTCACCCCCACAGAGCCAGGAGACCATTACGTCTATGTGAAGAAGGACGGTAAGAACGTTAATGGAAGCCCATTCTTAATTGCTGTAGAAATGTCAGAAGAACCAGAGCGAGCACCAACTGTTGGCAGTCCTTGTGACGTGGCTGTTGAGCTGCCTGATTTGCGTATACCCGAAGACCTTAAATTTTTGAAGTGTACACTTGAGAGACCAAATGGAAACACAGAACCACTTGAGCCCAAAGCCGGTCCAGACAATACACTGTCAGTCAATTTTGTACCCGAGGAACCAGGGAAACATCTTATCAACATAAAGAAGGACAGGAGACATGTGAAGGGAAGCCCAATCGAGGTGATGGTTAAAGATGCTAAGCCAAGAAAGCCTGGCCAGCCTTGCGCTATTGGACTAGAAATTCCTGGAATTAGAATCCCTGAGGACCTGCGTTATTTGAAAGCAACCGTGACAAGTCCATCAGGAAAGGAAGAGCCTGCTGAATTGAAGGCAGGTCCTAACAACAGAACGATCGTGGTGTCATTTATGCCGAAAGAAGTTGGAAAGCACTTGTTGAACATCAAGAAGCGCGGTGAGCATGTACAGAACAGTCCATATGAGGTGATTGTGAAACCTGAAGATCTTCCCGTAACCAAACCTGATGCATCAAAGGTGAAAGTCAGAGGTGATGGTAAGTAGTTATTTTTTTATTTGGGAAATGCATTCAACATTTAGTTAATTTGTTTTTATTTTCAACATTAAGATCTACCGTTGTATCTTTGTAAGAACCATACTTTATGTAAGCACATTTCGCGAGTAACCGCCAAATTTTTTTAACCTTGATCTAAATCTAAGTAGGCATTACATTAATGCAGAGAATTATTGCAACATACACCTTTATTGATTCACGAGACTTCTCCTTTCTCTAGGCCTTAAAGGTGGCCCAGTCAATACACGTTTGGATTTCCTTGTTGACACTCGTGATGCTGGTTATGGAGGTCTAGGCCTATCCGTTGAAGGACCATCGAAGGTTGAGATCAACTGTGTTGACAACGAGGTAAAAATCTTTCTTCTAATAGCAATCTATTTTTAAATGTGTTGTTTTTTATATCATTTTCATCTAGATTTTTATTAGTTTCTGATTTTTTACTGTATCGTCGTGTTGTATTAATTTAGCATGGCAATCGTGATAATTTATAGTTGTTTTATCAATGACTTTGACATCACGTCACCTAGAATTGTTCTGCCCTTTTTGTACTTCATGTAGAAGTTTAAAAGTTTCTTGACACATTGAAACTCAATATTGCTAAAATTGAGTACTACATATATGTGAGATGCGTAAGAACTCTTCCTTAACTACTTGTTAATGATTCCACACTTGAAAAGAAATTAAATCATTTCTGCTTTGCTTTAGGATGGAACATGCACTGTCGACTTTACACCTGACGAGGCTGGCACGTACAACATAAATGTCACCTATGCTGATGAGCATATTCCAGGAAGTCCTTTCAAGTGTGTTGTCACTGGCGACAAAGGTAGAAGGCGAAGACCCGTAGAAGAAGATATCTCTGCAGTTGAACAAGGAGTTGAGGAAAGTGCACCAGATTCATACAGTGACATACTTGCATTCCCAAGCACAAAAGCCCCGCAGGATTTCGTAATCAAATTCTCGGGAACCGGAGAACTAAACGCAACAGTGACAAGGCCATCTGGAGTGGAAGATCCTGCTGATGTTATGGAAGCTGGACGGGATCAGTACACGATCCGATTCATTCCACGAGAAACCGGAGAACACAAGGTAAACGTGAAGCACAGAGGAAGACACATTCCTGGCTCTCCATTCAAAGTGTATGTTGATGCCCCATCAGGTGGTGCCAAAGCCTGCAAAGCATTTGGACTAGGTCTCACAAAGGCTGTTGCCGGAGAGCCATGTAAATTCACAGTCAATACCAAGGATGCAGGACCAGGAGGTCTGGCTGTTGCCGTTGAAGGACCAGCTAAAGCTGACATTCAATGCCATGACAACGGAGATGGCACATGCGACATAACATGGTACCCAGTTGAGCCTGGAGAGTACACTGTGCATATCAGGTTTGCTGATGAACCAATCCCTGATAGTCCTTTCACAGTCAACGTCGTTGCTCCTGGAGAAGGTGCGGCAATGAGCATGGCCAAGTTCAAGGAACAGGTTCTCAGAGTTGGACAACAAGCAAGCTTTGCAGTTCGTATGAAAGGAAAGGACGGGAAATTAACAGCCTCAGTCCAATCACCGTCAGGCGCTGAATTAGAATGCTCTGTTGTTGAGATAGAAAAGGATAACTTCGCTGTGAGGTTTGTTCCAAAGGAGCTTGGCGAACACAGAGTCAATGTTTTCTTGGATGGTCATCACATTCCTGGCAGTCCGTTTAAAGTACGAGTAGGAGGCATTGATGGAGATCCAAGCAAAGTCAGAGCCTACGGTCCAGGTCTTAGAGCCGGTGTTGTAAACCTGGAAGCCGAATTTACTGTCAACGCACTCGACGCGGGCTCAGGTGCGCTTGCCTTGTCTATTGATGGACCAGCAAAGGTAAAGATGAACTGCATGGAACAAGACGATGGAACCTACAAAGTGACGTACAGACCAACGATAGCTGGAAGTTACGAAATCAGCATCCGGTTCGCAGGACAGCACATCCCTGGCAGTGCATACAAAGTCATAATTGCTGCATCAGAAGATGCCATTGATGCAGCAAACATCCCAGATGCAAGTAAGTGCACATCACGTGGAGATGGGTTAAAGAGAGCATACATAAACGAGGTTGCCTCCTTCACAGTCAATGCCAGCCAAGCTGGAAGAGGTGCAATCATGGTGGGTGTCGAAGGACCTGTCATCCCAGCAAGGCAGATTTTTGTTAAGCACACAGGGGGCGGTGTCTACTCTGTTGAGTACATACTCGAGGAAAAAGGTGACTACGTATTGAGAGTTCTATGGGGTGGCTTCGATATCCCTGGATCGCCTTTCCATATTAAAGTCTAGACATTCGGGATATTTGAATTACTCGCGAACTTAGCAAAATTTTCTACAATTTTCGAAGACAATCGTTTTTGGACACTAATTCGGACTGTATTCACTTGTAGTAAATGACTTAGAGTTGATTTCTGTAAAATCAAATTTTTAAGCGCCTTTTTTGTGGTCAAACAAACCAATTGTCTTTTTTATAACAATTTGTTGTTTTCAAAACTTTTAAACGGCATGCCCCACGATATTGGTATGCATGTTACCCAAAATTTTGTGCCTTCCTGCAGAGTACACGATAATTTAACACTTAAAAGCTCCAATTGGATGGATGTCAAATATGCTCTTTGATTGCAAACATGGTTGCATACGTGTTCCCCTAACTCCGAGGAAAGCATTTCTCTTTGAAGTATTTTCGTCTGTATTAGTATTATTATCAGCCCCAGTGCATTATGCCCCAGTGCTTTTTTGTGGCAATTTCCAGATTTTGGACGGAAATAAACATTTTGAAACCGCAGCATATTTGTTGAAAATATGAAGATGTCGTTTGAGTTGCTTTGTTTTTGCTTGATTTTGAGATTAATCTGATATCTCTCATTATTCTATCTAGCACGTCATTATTTATTTAATTCTTGCTCATATCTGTGGCACTTGATATTTTTGCTTGCAACGCGAATATAAATTTCTAAACGCAACGTTTTCTTATTTAGTAATTAGTGCGCCCATTCGATAGATATGGATAATAACTGGTGTATATAGATGACAGATTTTTTGTAACCTTTGCTTTTCATTGTCCTTATCTCTTTAATAAGTAGAGAACCTGAAATTTGAGTGCTTTTTATCTTTGACTTTCTCCTTTGATTCACGGCCGCATTTTAATCCTTTAGTGTTATGTACGAATTCCTTGTTGCCCGACAGATAAAACGTCACAGAGCTCCTCATAC